CCAATAAAACATGAAAACAAATGATAGTATTTTGCAACGACCACGACCACGACCACGATCATTGAAACTTGAGGTATCGAAGTAGTATTGAGTAGGTTTGTGAAACTGATATATCACCTATATTTAGTTTATTGTACTAATAGACTAAATATATTAATAATAGGTTTGATTTAATATATGTTAATTCATTGTGATTTCAGTTACTCAACATACAATATATAAGTATTATATAAGTTATAACTTTAAGAGATTCTTCTTTTTAAACATTCCATAAAGTATAATAAAGAAGACTATGTTACATATCTATTTTTAGAGCTGAGAAAACTGATAAAAATCTAACGGTAGATTATCTCGTTATTAATAGAATAATTAGAATTCATTAAGCTTACTTCATTATATTACATTTTATAACTTAACTCTCATTTTTATACGACCTGCACATTTTACTGTTTCATGTAAGAGTTTGTGCACAATAGACTTGTATCAGATAAACAACCTATTGTATTGCAAAAATATAATTTAGTATATACGTTTCATTACTCTCTAAATACTATATTAAAGATACTTTTTTTGTTAAATTAATGGTCTCGCTGGTCTAGCGGTTTAGTCATACCGGTCATACCGTTTTACTTCTAATAGTAGCCGGTTCGATTTCACGAACGACATAAATATTTCTATATTTTCATTTATATATATTTTTGTATGTATTGGTCAAGATGCTTTCTATGTATATTAATTATTATTGAAAATTATATATGTAAAGTTTCAATATATATTATTTATAATGTTTTTTGTATTTTTATAATGTTTCCCGAATACCACAAAACCAAAAGAAATGTTTGTTTTAACAATAAGTATGTATATCCAATCTTAACGTTTAAACTGTTTCTATTTTACTGAAAGTGAATTCATTTATATTTCAGCTGATATCTTTTAGGAATTTCCTAACCGATATCACAGTTTAAACGTTAAGATGGATATACATACTTATTGTTAAAACAAACATTTCTTTTGGTTTTGTATTCGGGAAACAATAAATAATTTAATTATTACTCAGCATATTGATGTTAAGTTTCAATATACATTAAATAATATATATTGAAACTTTACATCAATATGCTGATTAAAATAATAATCATAATTTCTTAGATTTAATTTAACTGTGTTCGCAATATAGATTTTGTTTGAACTTTGGATTGATACCTGCCTACCGCAATATGTCACAGTTTTACTTGTAATCTATTATAAGTACACGAACATTATTACAGCTCACTTATAACAAGTTATAGGTACATTTATATGACCTTGTAATATGCCAGGTGACACAGTTTAAGCTATATTTTGTATTAGCCAACTTGGTAATGTAAACCTTACATTAACTTCACTGCTTTACCTAGATTGTTTGACTTGTATAATGAATTGTATTTCTTTATACGTAATAATAATATACCTTTCTTCGCCGGAGCTACAGGTATACCAGCGAAATATCTCTACAATCTTTTAAAAGATCTTAGTCTGTATAGAAATGCAGTAAATTCTATACTAGAACGCATCTAAAGTTGCATTAGCAGGCTCTTACCAGATTTGGCTGGGCAGGGGGAGAAACACGAGCGCTGAAGGTGCAATTTGACGCATGATGGAATTTTGACATACTTAGGCAAATGGCCCTTTAAAGCTACATCAGGGTTACAAGTCCCGGGAATTGCTTGGTATTTGCCTCTGCTACACGATGGATCCCCTCCGATCAATCTTCCGTCCAATTCAAATAGGGTACGAAATTACGATGGTCTGAGCCGAGGTTCGAACCCCTAGCGGTGTCCTCAGACTAAAGTCGTATGAGTCAGCCGGGAGTTGGCCTTCAGCCGCTCCATAAGTCCTTCCGCGGGTTTGTAGTCTCACTCACTCGCCCACTATCGTCTGGTGAAGCTGTAAAGGCGGCCAATAGCATTAGAGTAGTTTGAAAAAAAAACGATGACTCCGCAACCCACACGGTGAATCTATCGAATGCTAAAAAGTTCGTCAGGCTCTCAGCGATTATATATTACAAATGGGGTAGTCAGAAATGTTGTCGCCTGTCGCCGTCGTGACGAAGGCTGCACTTATACGCCCATATTTAGCTGAGTACATTTGAATTCAATATAGAGAGTAGAGGCGAGCCTACTACTGTCAAGTGGTTGTTTTTTTATAAACCTTGCTGGATATCTGACACTACATGCCAATGTGACACCTACATACACATTAGACTGTTATACATTTCGTCAGTATAGCTAGATAGCTTAGATAGAATATTAACGAGATGTAAAGAACCATTAAAAATCCTGGACAATTCACACAGCGTCATCTAGTCCCAAGCTAAGCAGAGCTTGTGTAATGGTATGTACCCAACCCAACTATTATAAATATTTACATTTTTTAAATACATACATAATATACATAGAAAATACCCAGACCAATACAATAATACTCATGAATACAAATGTTTATACCGTTCGAGAAATCAAACCCGCGACCCTCGGAAGTAAAGCAGTATTTTAAACCGCTAGCCCACCAAGGCTATCAAGCCAAAATGAGAACTATTTCAATCATATCCTTGCACTTAAGTTTAAAACGACGTACAAACTTGGATTTATTATCATTAATAAAAATCGTATACATGAAATTAACATCAAGTAACGTTCTACGCAATTCAGTGAGTGAGTCGAATTTAAAAGTCTGTATTTATATGTAGGAAGTGTTGATTTAATGTTACTCTATAATATACAGTTAAAACGTTGTTATAATTTATATTTAAAATGGAAATATAACATGCAAATATACTGAATGCATTGTGGCCAACGAATGTCTGTTTTCCGCAATAAATGACAAGTTACACTGTTTTGGCACACAAGTGTATTAATTAACTTAAAAATTGGACCGTTCGATGGTAAATGGTGGTATGAACTGGTTATTTTCTAATAAATATAGCATTACATCAGTAGTGTCATCGCTCTACATAGCAACTAGGCAGTTGGTGTGGTCACCAGCGAAAGCTAATTGCAACAGATGCACTCACGCGCATGCATGCACTGCATCGACGCAATGTCTCCGATGAATTAATAACGTTTAATTAATAATCGAATGGTATTTGACGGCCCCGGTGGTCTAGCGGTTTAGCACTCTACTTTACTTCCTATGGTCGCGGGTTCAACTCCTCGCAAGGTACAAACATGGGTATGATTGTATTGGTCTAGGTGTTCTCTATGTACATTATGTATGTATTTACAAAAAAATATATAAAGTATTTATAATTGTCTATTATCACTGATAATATAATATTACATACTATTACACATTACACGAGCTCTCTACACATTACTCTGCTCTTTTGGTCTTAGTCTTTTTAGGTATACTGTATAATATCCATTAACAAAAAAAATGTATTTCATTACCTAGTACTCATAACACAGTAGTTACGGACTGGATAGCACCGAGTGAATTCTCCTGGGTAATTTTTTATAAACAACTTTAAAAAAATACTGAAATAGTAAAAAAAATATAAATATACTTTGCCTCAAATTCATTCATTTTTAATCTTCTATCGGATTGATCTCTTTGGGTTATGACCCAAATATTGTGGACGTATACTATTCTTAGTACATAATAGTTATATATATGTATATATTAATGCAGACTGCATTAACTGATGAAATGCTGTTATTGTAACATAATTTGTATGAAAACGAAAGTAGTTGTAGCTATTTAGAGAGCGAAAGTGACGTGCCACACAACAGAGTCGGCGCGGGTCCTCTTGTATTTATCAGTATGGTCAGTGGCCAGCGTATAATATGCCTACTTAATTTCGTTTGTTCGTGTAGGCAGCACATAAAAATGTCAGTCTTGCCACAAAGAGTCAGAGACATAAATAGTCACAGTCATTAGTTACGACCAACTTGGTTGACCACTTTGATTGTTTTTTATGTATTTTAGAAAGAAAAGAACTATTTATTTTTCTTATTGAGTTGTATAATATATAATATATTAAATTGGTTCCAGTGAAATAGATTCGTAGTCTATTGCATAATGACTACGATTTATGGATCCTAAAGTTTTTAAATTGCCAAACATTTTGTGTGTCAATTTATATTTCCAACAGTGGTTCTAAATCTCAACGAGTGGTAAATTCATTTCGTCTCAGGTTGTATAGGTTGTAATGGGGTATATCACGTATTGCGATCAGCACCGGTATATACCGGATACGGTGTGACTGGAGTGGGAATACAACGACTATAGACTACAGAATAGTAGTAATAAATGTGTATATTTCTCAAAAGGGCTCATAGCGAAATAACAACAACTAGTCAAAAGTGACATATAAAAAACAGATATTAAAAATACAAAGTTTATAAAAAGAAGGGTAGACAAGCTGCCAGCAACATATCATAAACAAAAGCTTACACAACTTTGTGGCCCTGAGACAGTTATGCAGGCCAAAAAAATAACCATACTAAAATTATAAATTCGAAAATATATCTGATCTATACGTCTGGATGTACCTTTTCCTTACTGAAGAAATCTTAATGAATTTGAATAAATTAAGCTAAAAATTATGTCTCGATTATAGAGCGTCTTTTATCAAAAATAATAATCTGGAAAGGGGATAAAAAAGGGAATAAAAGTTTGTACAGATGAAATCGTGGGTGACAGCTAGAATACGTAATTATGTATTTCAAATGCTAGGGCCAAATGAATTTTTTTTTGATAATGGAATGGTTTTCCTCTCTGCGTTAACGGTTTACGCTGGCGTGGCACCAGTGGAAGACGATAAGATGAGCACGAGGTCAGGTCAGTTAGCACATACTGAATTTATCACGATTATTTCAAAGAGGAACCGCGTGGAAGTTATCATGACCACATTAGGAAACAATTCCCTACTTCCTCTTCTCCCCTCAATGTATAGTATTGTACTGATACATTTGTGAATAAAGATGATTATTAATATTATTTTAAAATATTTGTTACAGTGCAAACAAGATGCGGGTGAGCGTGTGGTGGAGCGCGGCTGCGCTGACACTGCTTGCTGTCACCAACGCCCTTCGAACCACGCAGGTGAGTCAGCAACTCTTTTATTGTTACTTTACCTTGAAAATATTTTCAATTTATTATCTGTATATACACGTTTATTTTAAACTTTCACATTTTTATCTATGTATTCCCTTGCAATATATATATTTAGGTTAAATTTGGAAGTGGAATAGATCGCTATTAATGATAACTTTTTACTACATTGCAAGCTATGTATATAAACGTTTTCCTTTATATACATACCTTGCAATGTAGTTTCTTTCTTTCTATATGTTCTGTTAGGAAGATTTCTACGCAGTTCCCCTTTGGAAACCATCCATGAAGATTAGTAAATAAACAAACTCTTCAATCTTCACGCTTATCTGATCGTCTTCAAATACTACTTTGCCAACTGGTACTGTTTCACCATCCATTACAGTCTATAAAAAATTAAAACTAAAATTAACCATCATCGGATATTGTCATTTAGATTACAATTCTAAACAAAACTTGTAATGGAAATACTCGATACAAATCAACCGATTCCATGCCAAGTGAACAAAATTTCACTGACCTTTGTGTTTTTACGTTAATCCGTTTCTTGCTTAAAATAATTGATAATCGAATTACGCAGATTTAAGGCGTATGGCGTAAGAGTTGTAGGCTAAATGGAAATTATATGGCTGACAACTGTAGGTATTGATTGTACTTTGATACTTCCGTATCCGTTAATTCTGTGCAGCCTCGAAACCAAATCAACAAATACAATGTCGAGGCAAAGTTGCTTATAATAAAATAAGTAGTATAGTAGAGTACTATAATTATATGTTATATAATATTTTCAGTATTTAGACATTTCAGCCGTTTATCTTACCTCAATTAGTTTAACGTGAAAACCGTTAAAATAGTATTAAATTAAATGACTTAAGTTGTGGCATTAACTAACAGCTATTTAATCAACAATATTAACTAATTGATTTTGATAAATAATTTATATTGATCTATCTTGAAATCACAGATCACGTTTATTTATATAAAAAATATTAGAGTCTAAATATTTTTAAATTGGAACGGAACCAATAATTAATATTCAAAAGAGAGTAAAATGCAAGGCAAAATAAAACTTAAAAAATTTACATTTAGAACAACAGCTAATAAAAAAAAATTAAGATAAATCCGACTCAATTCATAACTATTGTTAGTATATAGGTAAACAATTAAAAAATACTACTTATGTAGTCAAAATTTGAATGTAATTATTTATTCATTGTAATTATTTATAAAGTTTATTCTAGTAAGCATTTATTTGCTCCATTTATGAATTTATTTAGCTGCTATTAGATGCCAAGTTAATAACGCATAATGGTTATTAAACCAGCTGGAATATAAATAAGTAGTAGTAATTACTAACTATATAATATTACAGAATAAAACATAGGTAAAGGCTAATAATCAGTTTACGAATCAACTTGAGTGTATATGCAGAAGTTATTAAAGAAATATATTTATATATATATACGTTGTTAATTTATTAAAATTGTGTTTTTTAAATTAAAGTAAATTAAAATTAAGAACAAATAGTTAAAATTTATGTAGATATGTAGTATCATATTATCTATGCAATAATTTTAATACCAATAAATTAAAACAATCAATTACATTTTATGTTTAAGAAATTATATTAAACTTACCCATTAATCAAAGTTTATTAAATAACTTAGATTTGTTGTCATTTTAAACAGATGCTAGATCATTGAAGTATTCTCAATTAATTTACATTAATACCATTCATCTGTCATGTTCATGACAGGTCGTTTACACAGAGACTTGAAGTTAAACGTAATTAATTATACCTAATTAATGATATTTAATTACCTAAGCTATATTAAACGGAAGATGTTTAATTCAATATGGTGTTTAACTAACAATGAGTGGTAAAGCTAATTTATGCTTAGTTCCCACACGACAAATCACATAGTCAAGTTCATTGATGTTCTCATAGTTCGACAGCCGTGGGAGACTGTCCTTCGCCCACATTATTCATATTTATATTACGAATGTGGATTTGTCTATTTGTTTATTTTTCACAGCTTTTTTATGAATGTAATCGCAATGGCACACAAACTGTCAGCCCAGCTGATCTCAAGTGGTAACTCTCGCCTATATGTATATACATGAACATCATCACGTTAACATGTAACAACTGCGATTCGATTTATGCGTTGCCATTCCGGATGACTAAGATATCATGCCTCTTATCCTGTAATTCAATTGCCATATCTTAGCTTTCAACTGAAACACAGTTAAAAAAAAGTTGCTTGTCAGCTGAAATAAGTAGACAAATATACCCACGCAGATGACTTTTTAGGAAGTAAGTATAGTACGCCTAAACTGATTTTAATAATATTTGATATGAAGATAGACTGTATAACGAGATTGGACATAAATTCCTTGCTATTTCCTGTTTTTCTACTAAGTACACTGAGTGCAAGAGTAACTTTTATATCACTGTTTTTTATTATTCAAATGACTTTGACATTTAATGTGTTATTAGTGTAGCCTCTATTACACGATGTGGGTTTGTAATACATAATTACTTGTAATTATAGCTCCTTCATAGCTAGTGTAACCAAATATATACTAAAATACATTATATATGTATCTTGTTGAGTCCCTGAACTTTTACCTAACATAAATTTAATTTATTTTTGAACTTCGAAATTTAAAAATATGAGGATTATCATTATACTGTTTATGTAACCATCTATGTAATTTCCTTTAAAGTCTTACACCTACTACACCTTATTGTGAATATTTTCATCAGCTAATCATCAACAGGCATTTGTACTTTACCTCTAGATATATGCACTGGCTATTGGAAATTAACAAATGGTAATCAGGTTTCTGCTGCCAGATTAGGCAATTCTGGCGGTAGATTTAAGTCTGATAAAACTTAGTTTCATAATCGTTGTTTTTATATGAGTTGTGCATGATAATTAAAGTATCTATATATTTTTTACATCTTAGTATATATTTACACGTCCCATTTAGTTGTTGTCGCTCATGTTTTGAATTGCTATTAACGCTCTAGTTATGACCAATCAGTGGAGCCTAGTTAGGACCGGTTCGACATTGTAATAACACATAAGTATTATCGGCACTTGGAAACTTTTCTGACAATTAATTTAATAGTAAAAAATAATAACAGTATTCGCTGGACAAGGAGAATAACACGAATAGTGAATCAATAAGGAGATTAATAAATCTACACCTATGTCACAACTCTTGATATCTACTCTGAGTTTCTCTACTTGCTACTTGATGAACTCTTCATGAAGTTCGTCTGTATTTATTTTCTCTTTATTTTATGTATATTTATATCGCTATAAGACAACAAACCACATAATTAGAAGATTTGTAAATAAGTTTGTTAAAACGTTACACCATTTCACGTATGTATCGAAATAAATTTTACATCATAATCTTTGCGAAGTCTCTCTCGCATCATTTGAGATGATTAAGGCACTCATAAGTAGCCCTTAAATAAAGATATAATTACTGTTTATTTTACAATTTTCATAATTACTTACACTCGAAATTACGATATATCAACTGTATTATTTTACTATTAAAAATTTGCATCGATATTGCAAAAAACTGTTCAATTTATTACTCTTCAAGTTTTCTAGATTGTGTCATAATAAGTGACATTAAATGGTTTACAGTAGCGTTAACATTGCGAATTAATTTAGCAGAGATCAACAACCGACTTTCTAGTAGGCAGTCTGAAGATCTTCACGTAATTCGTAATAATTCATTGAGAATTATGAATCTGTACAATTACATGGCACGCGATCGCTACTAGATTCATCAATTTGCGTTGTGTGAATTTGAGAAGGGCAATTATGTGGCCACAGTAATTACACTGTGTTATTGTTGATAATTAGTGATTCTCCTTCTATTTTGTTATCATAATTCTTATAATAGGCGCCCGTATATATATTTTTAGCTTCAAACAAAGAAGCTTGTTATTCGACTTTATATATTAAGTAGATTTTATTAGTACGTTTTACAATAGTGAATCGTTAATTTACAATGTATCCAATTAGTTTAAATTGATTCGATATTTATTTATAGATATATATATGTATATATATATTTCCTTATATATATTATTTATATACTTTACATATTTCGACTTTATGTCGGTATTATTCGTGGAATAAAATTTTATGTTATTTTTATGTGATTATTATATAATATTTCATCACTTGTAAATATATTATATGTACTTTTTGTAAATATAAAAGTGATATTTTTATAGAAAAATAAAAGTCTTCATCTTATTAAATACCTACATATAATCTGTAACTGTAATCCTAGATGGAGTAATATTAAAGTTTAACTTTAGTAAGTAATACTTTTAGTATTTTAAATAAATAACCACGTTTTTCGAGCCTATTCGAATTAGTGTGACTAAGAGCCAGTCCACAGAAATCGATAACTAATATTAACAATTAAACACAACCTACAAAAACCATGAAATAATTATACGATAATAGTCTTATATACAAATATACAAATATAAAATTCAAATATACTTCTATTGTAATTCTAATTCCTAGGACATGAATAGTTTTTTATAATATTGATTTATAAGGTTACGAGTCTATATCCATCGTAGTTTTAAAAATTAATAACAATTATATAGCAATATTCTTATCAAACTATTTTGGACGTTTTTGCAAATAGTTTATATACTCACTAAGGCTTATCACTCTTATCATTATTAAATAAATTTCTCTTCGCCACACAATTGTCTTTTTAATATCTACCACGAAAAGAACCAGTTAATAGACAGTTACAACGAATGTTGTCTCTCATTAGTTCTCGTGCGTGTGTATCAAACATTTTTCACACTTAGGCAGCAGCAAGTCTCAGACTTCGCAAATTAGCATGTCATATCGCCGATGACATATGTATGCAAATATATAGAATGCATAATATGATTATCTCAAATGTAATAATGCATGCACTTTCGATAA